ACCTAAATAGACATTTCTCCAAAGAAGATATACAGACTGCCAACAAACACATGAAAGAATGCTCAACATCATTAATCATTAGAGAAATGCAAATCAAAACTACAATGAGACATCATCTCACACCAGTCAGAATGGCCATCATCAAAAAATCTAGAAACAGTAAATGCTGGAGAGGGTGTGGAGAAAAGGGAACCCTCTTGCACTGCTGGTGGGAATGTGAATTGGTACAGCCACTATGGAGAACAGTATGGAGGTTCCTTAAAAAACTACAAATAGAACTACCATATGACCCAGCAATTCCACTACTGGACATATACCCTGAGAAAACCATAATTCAAAAAGAGTCATGTACCTAAATGTTCATTGCAGCTCTATTTACAATAGCCTGGAGATGGAAACAACCTAAGTGTCCATCATCGGATGAATGGATAAAGAAGATGTGGCACATATATACAATGGAATATTACTCAGCCATAAAAAGAAACGAAATTGAGCTATTTGTAATGAGGTGGATGGACCTAGAGTCTGTCATACAGAGTGAAGTAAGTCAGAAAGAGAAAGACAAGTACCATATGCTAACACATATATATGGAATTTAAGAAAAAAAAATGTCACGAAGAACCTAGGGGTAAGACAGGAATAAAGACACAGACCTACTAGAGAATGGACTTGAGGACACCGGAAGCAGGAAGGGTAAGCTGGGACGAAGTGAGAGAGTGGCATGGACATATATACACTACCAAACGTAAAATAGATAGCTAGTGGGAAGCAGCCGCATGGCACAGGGAGATCAGCTTGGTGCTTTGTGACCACCTAGAGGGGTGGGATAGGGTGGGAGGGAGGGAGACGCAAGAGGGAAGAGATATGGGAACATATGTACATGTATAACTGATTCACTTTGTTATAAAGCAGAAACTAACACACCATTGTAAAGCAATTATACTCCAATAAAGATGTAAAAAAATACAAAAATACAAAAATATATGTATATCCCTTTTCCATTCTCTTAAAGAATCTCGATGAATATGGAATAATTTCTTTCCAGAATATTCTATATAAATTGCCAGTAGAGCCACTGAGCTTAATCTTGTTCTATGAGAAGATTCTTTTATTATGTTTCCATTTAGTTAAAAGGTTATTAGACTGTTCAAGTCGTTAATTTCTTCTTGTGTAAGTTTTGGTATAATTTTCTAAGAATTGGCCACTATTTCAAAACTTTTCAAATTTACTTGTGTGAAATAATATCGTGTTTTATTATAATAATGTCAAATGATTCATAGTGGGTTTCTTGGTATCTATATACACCTATGAATCATTATATACTAATACAAACTGTTATGTGGTGGCACTTAGGAGTCAATGCAGGACCACAGCCCATCTCTATTTGAGGTTAACCTCTCTTAACAAAAGGAAACTAAAGTTAGTTCGCAGACATCTCTGTGAACCAGCCCAGAAGGTACAGACACACACAAGAGTCATTAGGAAATGATATGAAATAAATACCACTTTACCAGTCAGTGGCTGCTACTACCATACCTCATCTTTAACAAAGCATGCTAGTGTAAGAAAAGCTCCTTACTACTCTCCATTTCTAAATTTATACATCAAACTCCAAAGGAAATACTGACACAGAATATACTAATTGAAAGACAAAAGGAAACCAAAATTTGCTTTCAGATGAATGTGCCATATCTCAGAGGTGCATATCAAAGACATATATCTACCAACCCTCTTCTCTTGGTTTACTTTGCACAGACATTGCAAGAGAACAGGAACCTATATTTTGCAACATTTGGGTACATACATAACTTCTACAACCATGTGCAAGGAAGGAAGAGTGTCCCAAGACAACTAAAACTTTGCTGATCCAAAATTCAAACTTGAGGTAATGCCAAGTATGATTATGTGCCTGAAACTTCCCCTTATCAGGTTCAAAGAAATACAAACGTCTCTGATTAGGGCAAATCCTCATATGGTGCTGGGTGAGGGAATCTGGATGCTGCTAGAACATCCAAAAGTACATTCACATATCCTGAGGTGAGAGACATCTGGTCTACTCGAGACCCCAAGGGCGAGATGGAGCCAGGGTCCTGGACACCAAAGATCACCTGGAACATTACAACATGGAAACACCACTCATGGTGCACAAGAGGGGACACTCTTCCTTCCATACACGCCCTTCCCATCCAGTGTCCCTGGGATCAGGCACAAGCATGAAAGTGGGAGGTGGGAAGATGGGAGATGTAAAGAGATTAAATGTGATGGAAAGATCACTGGGTCTGTCATGGCTATAAGCCAGTCACATCATCTCCATAAAGGGCTAATTTAGCATCCCTCCCAAATAACTCACCTGTGACATCCAGGTGGAAGGAGACCCTCTGGCCCCTGGCTTCACAGCTGTACTCTCCAGCATCCACCTTCCCTGCCTGCTGCACCACCAGCTGCCGGGTGCAGCCCTTGGCTTCCACACGCACTTTCGAGCTCGAACTCAGCTTCTTTCCATCCTTGTACCACGTCACCTCCGTCGGGGCCTGGGCCACCTCGCAACTCAGCACGGCACTGGCCCCCGCTACGGCCTGCACTTCACTGCGTGCTGGCTGCTCTTTGGCAAACACCACCATGGGCTCTGGGGGAAGGGAGGGATGCATAGGGTCAAAGATACCATCTAAGTCAAGACGCAGCACTGTGGAAAGAACGACTAAACAGGAAGCCAGGAAGACAGGAAACCTCTCCAGGCTTTGCACCAGCTGTGTGACCTAGAGAAGCTCCACCACGTTCTCAGCAACAAGTGACACCCTTTATTTCTACGTTCTCCTGATCTATGTAGGCTGTTCCAGTGAGAAGCTGGGAAAGACTTCTCCCCTGCACAAATCCTCTAGGAGAGGAGCCGTAGAGCCATGCATTCCTCAGCCTTCCTAGATGAGGCCAGAGTCTTTCCCATACAGTTGTGCAGGTCATGTTCTCATCTGCAGTGAATGAGAGTTCCTGAGACTCCACCCTCTTGCCTATTCTCAGTGTTGTCAACTGTTGGCAACCTGGTGGGAGTGAAGTTACACCATCTGGCTGTCTATTGCATGGTCCTGATGATTCACAAAGGGAAGAATCTTTATGAATTTTTTGGTCATTCTGTGGTTTACTCTTCTGTGGTGTCACTGTTCAAGTTTTCCACAAGTTTCAAAATTAGCATTGTCTGTCTTTTCCATATTCATTTAGGAGCTCTTTATATAAATAAATGCTATAGAGTGTTGATGCTTATGTGTGTTTATCTATCCTCCCCATTTTCCTGCTCTACCTTTTCATTCCTTTATGACGTTTCTGGTGAAATTAAGTTATTTAATTAAGTCTGTTACAGGCAGATATATCAATCTGATATCAATTTGTCCTTTGTGGTTTCTACATTTATGTTCTGTTTAAAAATCCTTCATTATCCTGAGGTCATTAAATAACCTCTATTATCTGATAAAAGCTTGTTTTACCTTTCACACAGAGGTCTCTAACCTGCCTGGAGTTGGTTCTTTGTGTTCTAGGAGGTAGATTCCAGTGTTATTTTATTTTTCCATATAGTTAATGGTCTTAGTACCATTTATGAAAAGACCCTCCTTTCTCTCCACCTCAGCGTGAACTCACCATTCCAGTCCCTTGGGCTATTTATCTGTCTCTGCACTGAGACCCACTTGTCCAAACTGCTGTAACTTAAAATAAAAGTCTTGATTTAGGTTAGATCAAATGTCCTCATTCTGTTCTTTGACTGGCTTTTGCAATCAACTTGTCAATATTCTCACACCCAAAAGACCTATTATTTGGGGTTTAATGGGAATTGAACACTTCTAGGTCTTCCATAGATTCATATCCATTTATTTGTATCTTTTTGCCTGCCTCTCTACAATGTCTAATCATTTCTCCCACAAAGTGTCTCAAGATCCTTTCTTAGACTTGGAACTGGTAAAATGACCCATCTAATGTTATTGTAACTCTGAAAATTTCATTTTCCAGTTTCTTGTTTCTGGTATATAGATATAGAACTGTTTTCTGTATATTATTATCATTATTATTATTATTTTGGTACGCAGGCCTCTCACTGTTGTGGCCTCTCCCGTTGCGGAGCACAGGCTCCAGACGCACAGACTCAGTGGCCATGGCTCACGGGCCTAGCCGCTCCGCGGCACGTGGGATCTTCCCAGACCGGGGCATGAACCTGTGTCCCCTGCATCGGCAGGTGGACTCTCAACCACTGCGCCACCAGGGAAGCCCTCTATATTATTTTTGTATGCGGTAATGTTTCGCAACTCTCTTACTAAGTGTAGTAATTAATGTTTCTGGATTTTCTAAACTGATAATCATATCATCTGTGTGTTCCAATTTCCCTCCTTACTGTGCTATAAATGTAGCATTACAGTGGTGAAAATTGGTTTCCTTGTCTTGTTCCCTACTTCAAAGGCAATGCTTTCAAGGTTTCACTTTATGTGTGATGTTAGCTAGTTTTCTCTACACTACCAATTATTAAATGAAAGAAGAACCTTTTATTAATACTTTGGTAAGAATTTTATGGCAGGAATTGATGCTAAATTTTATCAAGTATTTCTCCTAGATATATGATGTTATATTTCATTATTTTTAATCTCCATTTATTGGGGAAATAGTATCATTTTTCTTTTATTTTCTTGATGTCAATCTTTCTATACATTTTCTACTGTTCCTTGTGTTAGATAAACCTTGCTCTCTTGCAATAGGACTGTTCTCAGAGTGTATTTTCCTCTTGATAACCTGTTGAATTCAGTTTGCTACTATTTTGTTGAAGATATTAGCCTTGATATCATCAACAGATTAAACTGTGTTACTTATTCATATTTACCTTATCAGATTTTGGTATCAATGATATGTTCTACACATAAAATGAATTAGAGAATGTATTCCATTTTTCAATACTACAGAAGAATCTGTATGAACATGGAATAATTGCATTCCAGAATACTCAGCACAATTTAACAGTAGAGTGAGTGGGCTTAGATTTCTGCTGTGAGATTATTTATTATGGTTCCATTTATTTAAAAGACTATCAGCTGGCAAAAAAAGCTTTTGACAAAATTCAACACCCATTTATAATAAAAACCCTCCAGAAAGTAGGCATAGAGGGAACTTACCTCAACATAATAAAGGCCATATATGACAAACACACAGCCAACATCATTCTCAATGGTGAAAAACTGACACCATTTCCTCTAAGATCAGGGACAAGACAAGGTTGCCCACTCTCACCACTATTATTCAACATAGTATTGGAAGTTTTAGCCAC